CCTCCGTGTCGATGCAGTCCCCTGTGAAGCCGGAAAGAGGGGTGCGTAGGGGGGCCAGCTGATCCTTCCTCAGCTTCATCCCTTCGAACGCCTCCCAGTAGAGGACGTTCACGCTGCTCCCTGTGTCAACAAGGACGCGGCGGACGATCGCACTGTTGATATCCATGCTAATTACCAGCTCATCCCTGTGCGGGGCTGGTGACATTGGCAGGTCGGCCGGTCCGAAGGTGATGGCCTCCGCCTTGTTCCTTTTCGTTGGGGGGGGGGGGGGGGCTGATATGGAACCCATGTAGAGGGATCTCTCAAACTTCTTCCGTTCAGCAGGTGTGTCCCCAGTCTCAGCACCCCCGAAGATCACCTTGATCTCCAACTTCTTTTTTCCGCCGTTCGGGCTGAGGGACCCTTCCGGACGTTTATCAGCACTTCGATGGTCTACGTCCTTTGGTTCAGCCTCGCGCCGATCGTCGCGGCGCCATGTTCGTGACCTCGGATTCGGCTGCCTAGGGCTATTCTTCTTCAGTAGCTGGGTGAACTCGCCCAGGTAGCCCTGTTGGACCAGCTCGTCGATGGCCATCCTCAGCTGTTTGCAGTTGTCGGTGAGGTGGCCGACCCTCTGGTGGTACTCGCAGTATGCGGTCTCATCAAGACCCATAAGCGCCTTCTTATCTTGGGGCTCCCTCAGGAGGCCCTTGTCTTTGATGGCGTCAAAGATATGGCCCACGGGGTAGGCCAAGGGGACGTGATAATCCCCTGGACGCACGGTGCTTGCCTCAGGGTGGGCCTTCCATGGAACTATGCCTCCGTCCGTCTTCTGCCTTTTGTTTTTGGGGGAGGGGCCGCCTCTGGGGCCGAGCCTGTCTGATAATTTCCGGGAAGGGGCCGCCGGCGCGCCGTCCCTCAATCTGATTTCCTCCTCAATGGAGGCATACTTCTGTGCCCGAGCCAGCACCTCGGTGTAGCTGGTGCTGGGGTTCCTCCGAAGGTCCCGGTATAGGTCCCCTGTTGCCAAAGTGCTGGTGAACATGTTCACTCCCTGGAGCACTTCGTCTCTCCATCTGACCAGAAATTTGGCCAGAGGTTCGTCCTTCCCCTGCTTCACACTGATGAGCGATGTGAAGCTCTTCTTGGGGGTGGTGCTGGCGGCGAACTGTGCCATGAACTGTTGGGACAGCTGTTCGTAGTTGTCAATGGATCCGGGTCTCAGCTGCCCGAACCACTCCTGCGTCGGGCCCCTTAACGTGCTGAAGAAGAGCCGGCAGATGGCCTCATCGGACGCTCCCAGCATGGAGAGGTTCCCCTGGAAGCTGATCAAATGAGCCTTGGGATCTCCGGTCCCATTGTATATTATCCCTCCGGGCGGCCTGCAGTCCCGCGGAATCTCTGCGTTCATGACCCTCGGCGTAAATGGTGAGGTGAGGGAGAAACGAGGCGTAGCTGGGGTGGCCTCCGCTCGTCTGTCCATCTCGGCTATCCGCCGTTCCATTGCCTCTAGCCGGGCCTCCTGTGAGGCCCTTCCGGGGGACACAGGAGGGGCGGCCTCGAGCGCAATGTTCCTTCGTGGGGCAACCGCGTCGGGTTGCCTTCGGGTAATATGGGCACCACGCCTTTGGAAACATCGTCCAATGTTGCTGGCAGCTGGGGTGGCTGCCGTATCCTGACGTTCTGAGGGAACATCCGGCGTGCGTCCCCGATGATCATCCTGCCAACCATAGTGTGGGGTGCTGGCATTGGTGAGCCCCCTGGTCCCATGGGAGCTCCCCGCCGGCGGGCTCCGGCCCAACCTCGTGTGGACGGATGCCCGGCGTTCTGCAGAATCCGCTGTCTCATCCAGGGACTACATGTGGTGGATTGGCGATATGGGCGTCCAGATGGTGTTGGCCGAGTACACCTCCTCGTCAGCTTCCTGCTCATCCGCCATTCGGCGCATGGTTTCCGCCAGCTCCCTCATGAGCCGGGGATCGCGTCTGGCCTCATGTGGGATGAGGTTGGTGAGGCCACCGTCGTCCCTGGCAGTTCCCAGCGTTTCTGAACGCTCAGTGGTTTGCCCGCGGCTCCTCCGTCCGCGAGACAATCGCTCCGAAAGATCATGTGGTTGGTTGTTTCTTGCCATCGCGCTTGCTGTGGGTAGATTTAGTAGCTGTTTGGGAGAGTTTTGGAAACTTTTAGTTCGTTTCCCACAGACGGCGCCAATGTTGAGGTTTATTCCTTCAACCCTCGGGTCCAACACGTAAGCCCAAGGATTTCGAGTGGATTAGGTGTGTGAATAAACTAGCCCAACTAACAAGTGAGATGGATCAAGGAAAACAACAAATAGCAAGTAAGTGATTAGGTATTATTATCTGTTAATAACTCCCTAATACAATACTTTCGCTAAGGCTCGTCGGCCGTTCGTCTTACCAGGCAGTAGAAGTGCTGCGAGTAAGAATGCTATAGCTAGATTGCTAAGAATAGAAAGTTGCCAACCCTTTACAATGAAATAAATGCTTCTATTTATACCGCCAATGGGCAGTTGGCTACGCTGACGTGGAGGACTGCGGATGGCTGGTGTCTCAACCACCAAATCTTCAGCATTAAATGCACTTCCCGCCAGAATCTAGGTTTCCCGCCTAATTAGTGGCGACGTTCGTCCAGGTGGGGAGGTGAGTCGCTCCTGGTGCTTTCGCAAAGGGTATTGGGCCGTTCGTCCCCTGGCCCTTGGGGGATTTCACCATGTGGATTGGACTGCCTCCAACGGCTATGGGCTTGCTCTGACGACGTTCGTCGTCATTCTGGGGGCCTGTAGGCCTGCTCCTTGTTGACTGCGTAGACGTTCGTTGATATGGCGGGTAAACCAAGGCTTTGGTGACAACGTGCGTCCCTTCCAAGTTGCCTGTCAGCTTAGCCTACCCAGTTCTGTCCGGACGTCCGTTCGAATAAAAGGGTAAATGGGCCGAACTTCTACTTGGGCCATTAACCCAACAGGGACAAATCTGCATCATCCAAGCCTAAGAAGAGGCTGAGAAAGAGAAGTGCCGTGGAGGAGGAGCTGGCACTGTACGATGAATGCGACACCTTCCTCACCATAGACCGAACCACGCCCCTAGGTGCAGGAGCTGACCTTGTCAGTTCCCGGGTAGAAGTCGCAGCATCTGGTTCAACTGCGCATGCACAGCCATCTCCCATCCACTCTCCATCCTCCCAACAGGGTGGAGTTTCAACAACTCAAGGGGAATTTATACCGACCTCGCTGGTTCCTTCCGAATCAGTTGAGAGACTTAGTAGTCAACAACCCCAGACCACTACCCCCATTTGTTCTATCACATCGAGTCTAGGTGTCACCATTCCTACATTTTAAAATTTTTCTAGGACACCTACACTATTCACTGCACATACAGGTGCACTCACCCTGAATGCAACGACCGGAGTGCAAACTATGATGGTCGGAAGTCCTGCTACGCCAACAATGCCTCGACCATTGAACGCAGGCCACACATCAGCTATCTTCACTGATGCTGTGACAACAGTTACGACCCCTGTAACTGGAACCATTATCCCGAAGACCTTCTCGTACACTTGAACAGCTTTCTAGAGTCTACCATTAAACCATGGGTGCATGAAGCAATAACCGCTAGTGCACAAGGCTCAGGAAGCACCCCAGCTGTTCAAGATGTACCAAGTGAACCCCAAACAACACAGCCCCCAACCATTTCCATTCCTATTTCCCAACCTTTAACCCTAGCTAACCAACAACCATCCACTTCCAGGGGAACCCAGGATACCGAACTAGTATCCTCCCCTACAACGACCAAACCCAATCTCAGAACCATACCCTTCGATGATCTTGTAGCTGAGATCTTCGATCGTATCCTAGAGACGGATGAAGGCAACCGCACCCGACTTCAAAAAGCCCTTCTCCATGCTCTAGATACTCAGAACACATGCCGTGACAGTCTTCGTGGCGCTAAACGTTCACATGAGGATCCTGATGATTCAGATTCTCATGAGGGGGAGAACAAGCGCCAGCGAATACTTGAGCATGTTGCTTCTACTAGCCAAGCCCCACAGCCAAACCAACCCTCCACCTCTACCAATCAGCAACCCACTACTTCAGCCAGCCAAAACAAATCCCTAGCCTCTCTTTCTAGCATGGTCGAGCTAGATAAAACATTCCGAGGCGCATCTCCTATAGATGTTGACCAAGGACGGAATGGAAGTCCTGATGATGCTACCACGAGTACATCTTTCTACTCAGGCCATCGGCTAGAACCTAGTTCGAAACTGATGACAACGGGCAATCCTGAGGATCCCGGTGTTTCACACGACAGGTCGCCTTCGACACAACAACAAGCTCACTCTAAACTCTCTGGTAATCAAATACAAGATGAACTTGAAGACTTTCTAGTTCATGATCAGTGGCCTCGCAAGTGGACAGAGTGGGACGATCTTAGAATGGAAGCTGAACAGTATGAAATGTGTCGAAGCTGGCATCTCAGAGAGTTTCTCAATAAATATCATGCACAAATGATTGGACTCGATGAAGATGAACTCAAGGAAGGGGAGAATCATAAAGAAAACCCCAAGGAACCAGAACCAGCTAAAGAAAAATGGGAAATGATAAGAATCAAAGCCCCCTTCCTAGAAGAAATCCGAGAGAAAATTTGGCGACAACCAGAAAAGGTCAAGCAGTTCAGTGAATTAAAGATGCGAGGAATCAATCACTTGAAAGGAAAATATCAAGGAGGAAACCTGTATATGTTAGGACACAGATCCACAGGGGAACAACGACAAGTCCTAAATCATAATCTTGCAACAAGTGGATGTCCTATAATGAAAATCCTGGATATCACAGAAGATTACTTGGAGACAATTAAGTTCTTGGTCTTTCGTCTACGACGTACTGATGGCTCGGAGTTCACCTGCCAAGAGAATGACTTCTTCTTACTACACATGGATGACATTTATCAAATGTTCATGAGATACAGAGAGCTCCCAGTTCACAAAGACAGACTTGCTAAAGAGGGCTTCGAGACTATAAAAAGATTCATGACAAGACAAGTTCGGTTCTACGCCTCCCATGATCTCCAGATGACTCTAGAACACAACTATTCAAAGGCAAACCTTACACGACCGGACTTGAGTAGACCTGGGCTTGAATCCTTTGCAGCATACTATATCTTTGACAACCCAGTCTCAGTCATCTATCTGAATCATAACAACGAAAAGCGTCTAATGTTTGTAGATGAAATTAACAAGTATTGTGACGGAACTCTGAAGATCATCCAGGAGCAGCTTCGATCAAAGAAAGAAGAACTTGGTCAGAAATCAACCGAAGCCTCTAAAGAAGAACTGAAGGAACTACATAGAATTGACAACATCCTACAGGCCATCGAGAAGCAACTTGATAGAAGAAGATCACTCAGAAATTATGAGCACGCGTTGAACCTACGCAAACACTACTTCAATGCTCAGAAGTAAAAATAACCAGCAGGACGTCACTTGATCACAAAGGGGGAGATTGTTAGAACTTTTATTGTGAGTCAAGTTTGTCTCTGTAATGTCTTGTTTAATAAAGTAGACTAGATATACCATTTATGGTATTAGATTAGTAATCATTTTGTAATAAATGGGTTAAAGGGAATAAGGCTCAAAAAGGCCTTGGCCCAAATCCCAAGGTTTACCTAATTCGGTAACCTGTAAAGCGCCTATAAATATGCGCGTTTTGTACAGGTTCCGATATCGATTAATACACTCTAGCCTTACGCTGCCAAAATTGTTCTCGATACAATAGAAAGAAAGTTTTCTCTGTTCTCGATAATCTCTATATCATTCTGTGAAATCTTTCTTCTCTGTTTATCGATGATGTCCATCTAGCTGAATGTTAGTCTGCATAAACTGGGACCAACAAGAAGAAAGGAGACTTGTCATGAAAAATGCTGATGCAAATTGGCTTCCCAATTCTGGAAGAGTTTAGCAAACTGGCAGTAGGCAGAAATCTAGAAAAGAATTTCAGATTGAAAACAAGTACTGGGAAAATTGAGAGCCAATCATCCAGTGTGATACAATCACAGCCTTCTATCAGCAAACGAATGCGCAAGGATTTGGTGGATAAACCTGAGTAGCTTAGCAGTCCGGAGTAAAACCATATTTAGACTACAGAGTGCATCATTGTATATAGAAGTAGCTAGTAAACCCATGTGTTGTTCTGCTAGGTGTTCAATACATGTTTTGATATTATTAGCTGTGGTGCATAGTACCGTCTTTACTACGGGTTTCGTCGAGTTGGATATGCAATGTTGCTATGTTATGAAAATTTGGGTTGATGCTATTTGTCAGGTTGACCCCTTTCCACCAAAAAATCAAAAATCAAAATCCCCAAGTCTGAACTTATACATATACACGTATTCATTTATAAACAACCCATGACAACAATATATACATATATAGTAATCATAGTATGTCTAACTTACGTTAGTCACCCAACAATCATACAAATCAACAACAAGCTAAGGATTTACAAAAAAAAACCTAAACCGAATTTTCTTTTTTCTTTGCTTTTTATATCAGATGAATAAAGCCATACTAAAATACTACGGAGTAACATTTACTGGACTAATTGATAGCTAACACCACAAACTGCTGAATATTTGTTTATTAATAACAGATTTCTGATAAAACAATCAGAAATCTGTCAGATGGCATTACATTTAAAGGTTTTCCTTTTAACTTTTCTCTCTCATTGAATAGCATTCTTAAATTAAATTTGACGTATACTTTGGGATGGGTGGGGTGCAGTACATTTTCAAATTGCACTTTATGAACACAAGTTATCAATTTTATATAAAACGAGATAGAGCTAACAAGCAAGGATGAGAAATTACACATATACAGAGCAACTCTAATTTTGGAATGTTTAACACCAGGATGGCATAGCTGGACTATTTGAAAGTAATGCCAGAAACCAAATGTTAGACTTTGTTTATCAAGCAATAAGCTTATCAATTGGCAATAACAAAAAAAAGGAAAATAATTCCTGTTGCCAAAACAGAAAATAAGCAAAATCAGAAGCATAAATAATGCTTATTTGAAACAGAAAACAACATCTTATTTGGCCTAATAAGCTCTGAGAACAACAACTTGTAAGAAAATCCCTCCAGTACATGTTTATCAATAAAATCCCTAAATTAGAAGCTGTTCTGTTCGTCTTAATCTTATTACTTATTGCTTATTCTTATTTTATTCAGATCAGATCAGATCAGATCAGAAAAATTCAGATCAGATCAGATCAGATCAAAAAGATTCAGATCAGATCAGAATCATTCAGATCAGATCAGAAAGATTCAGATCAGATCAGGAACATTCAGATCAGATCAGGAACATTCAGATCAGATCAGAAAAGTTCAGACATGATTTATCCACTTCCGAATTGGGTCGGGTCAAAGTGGTTTCGGATTGTCCTTGTTAAGGGCTACAATTCGATATATGGTACGCTCAAAACGGATAACGGGTGAATGAGAAATTGATTCTCAAAGTTTACCCGTTAGAATGAAAAAACTGGGAATAAGGATGAGTTTCTAGTATGTTATTTCCCACACCGGAAACCCAAGGGATTTGCAACCCTTTATAAAGGGACTCCCCCCTTAAGGAGTTAAGATTCCTAAGGGTAAAGGCTCTCTCCACGCTAATACACATTCCTCTCGTATTTCTTCGGCGAAAAACCCCTCCAGTCTCTCTGAAAATTTTCTTAGTGTTCAGTCTTTGTTCTCGTTCGCTGGAACTTTTGTTTGCGTGCTCAAACACTAGTTCGTAGTCATCGTATCCTGGGAAACGATTGTTGCGACGCTCCTAACACCGTGGGAGGCAACAAATACGTTTTAAGGACATCGTGCGTAGCACGAGCTTTGGCTAAATTCTGCTCCATCTCATTTCTTGTTTTTCTTTGGTCATTTTAATTAATTTATTTTAATTAATTTTCTTTATTTTCCTAAACACACCCTACAGGTTTATCAGTTTTTCTAATTTTGGCGGTTTGAGATAAAAAGCTAAGAGAAAAAGCTAATTAATCAAACACCTCTATAAGTTGTATATCTGGTCAAAAAACCAAAAAATGATCAAATCGGCCAAAATATGATTGATAGGTCATTAACCAAACTCCCCCTAATCTTTTAGCATTCATTTTTCTCCTTCACCAAGACAGAGACGCCGGGTCTGGAATTGGATGGGCACAGATGTGTCAAATAATAGAGTTAGCTTTAAAAAAAAAATGAGTACGAAACATAAGAGATTCCACAGCCTGGTTTAATAATTACGGAGTAAAATTTAAATATTCTCAAACTTTTTAATTTCTGTAAAATCCAAAAATTTCAAATTAAAATTAAAAAAGAAACTATGTAGAATTATTAATTACTTATTGGTCGGGTACCAATTAGGTTTTTGACGGTCTTGGTTTCCACGACACCGATTAGGTTTTCAACCATTACCATAACCTAATAGAAAAATCATATTTTAATTTTTAATAAAAACAAAAAGTAAATAAAAATATTTTAATTTATAATAAAATCGTAAAATGATATTAAAAAATCATTTTTTTCAAAAAAATATTTAAATAAAAAAATATGGAGACTATTGAGGTTAAGCTATGAAGCGCGGATACTTCACCAGGGTGCGGTATTAGCGTATCAAAACGTTCCCGTATCCGATACTCTAGGATACTCGTACCGTACGTTCCCGGATCGTATCTGCAATTTTTAAAAGTTTTCATTTTTTGGTAATTATTTTAAAATTTTGGATACTCGTATTCTGACGGATACACGTATCAACTTTTTTATATAAAAAAAAATCTTCCAAAATAACTTTTTTAAAAAAACACTCAAAATTTACATAATAAAATGAAAAGCTAAAGATAACTTTTACCTTGCTTTTAAGTGATAAACAATTGATGGGCCTATTCCTAATTCACTCATCCTCCTATGCCTAATTCTAATTATCCGTTGTTTGACTTATTTCTCATTTTAAATTAATGACTCTTTGACTGTATATATATATATATATATATATATATATATATATATATATATATATAGGGAGAGAGAGAGAGAGAGGAATGTTCAGGTCCGAACATTCCCCGTCCGAGCACCGTCCGAACATGGACGTTTGGGCCACTTCCCGGTGGAATTTTTTGATGAAATTTTTTTAGCATGTTCATCATCAAGTCTAGTTTGTCCATACCAAATTTCAGCTCAAAATTCGATCGGGAAGACATTCAAATCATTTTTTGAAGTTGTCTGCGTCAAAATATACATATAAAAACGCAGTCAACTTCAAAAAATGATTTGAATGCCTTCCCGATCGAATTTTGAGCTGAAATTTGATATGGACAAACTAGACTTGATGAGGAACATGCTCAAAAAATTTCATCAAAAAATTACACCGGGAAGGACCCCAGACGAGGATGTTCGGACGGAGGGTCCTGTCCGAACGTTCAGACCTGATCTTTTTCCCATATATATATATATATATATATATATATATATATATATATATATATATATATATATATATATATTTCAGGATGCACTATATATATATATTTTTGAGATGCACTAAGTATCTTGAAAATGTAAAATGTTTCAATGCCATGAATAGATAGACATCGGAGGATAATATATGTGCATTTTTTGAAAAACAAATTATTTTTAATATTTATAAATACACCTTTATAACTTTTAATATTTATAAATACACCCCGTAACTTTTAATATTTATAAACATGGCCCTGTATCCGTATCCAACTTTTTTGGGTTTTGTCGTATCCTAGTACCCGTTTCCACATATCCGTACTGGTGCTACATAGAGGTTAAGCGGTTTAAGGTTGGAATATTCATAGCACATACCAATCATTGTTACTTGTGTTAATAATTTTTCTTTTTTTGTTAAATAAAAACAGGTTAAGTAGTTGTAGAAAAAATATTAGCAAAATGTGTAAAGCATATACTGTATATAGTACGTAGTTAATAAACAAAAAAAATTAATCCTTAAAAAAAATAAACAAATTAATTGATGTCCTTAAGAGTAATTTAACAACTTATGAGCCAATTGTAAACAGCTATTCCTTCCGTCCTGCTAAGATTGTCCCAGACACTATTCACTTGACCAACACAAATCCCTCTTAATCTCTTACTTTATATATCAGTTTTTTATCAAATTTGATTCAGGTTTTTGCAACTTTGTAAAGTTTTTAATGCAGTTTCAGAATATGTAATTTTTATTTTCTAATTTTTTTTGAGTGCGGACAGGAATTAGTTTGATCCATCGTCAGTCAATGTCGTAAATTGAATTGTTCCAAATATAGTGGGAGGGAGGTAGTAAGTATTTAATAAACAGCTAACAATATTCCCTAATGAGAATTTATCCTAAATAGGACTAAAAAAGTTTGTAAATTCCAAAATAGGACTGCCATGTTTTTAATTCTCCAAATGGGGCTAATTACTGTCATGTTTTGACAGTACCAGACTTTAAACATGACAGTATTTTTCAAACTTGGCAGTAATTATTCCTATTTTGGGAATAAAAAAATGACAATCCTATTTTAAAATTTACAAACGTGAGAGCAGGTTTTTTAATCTCTATTCTCTACCAGGCACGCATATCAATCCTCCAATTCCATCCAAAAAAAGAGTTGTAAATTCTTCTCCACATCTACAACACACAGAAAGATCAGAAGACGTGCTGATCCAACCCTCTTCGATCAATGTCTAGAGGGGCGCCTTTACAGAAAGATGCGCCGTGGAGGGCCGCCCCTACCGCTAGACCCATCCCCAAAATCCACCACTCTCCACTCATTCGCATCACTCAAACCCCCTATTCGGACTATGCCCTTTCCGTCATGAAGGTGTGATTATTTAACTTAAGTTCATATTATGTTTCGTTGACTCGTTGTCAGTTGTAGGTGTTTTGAAAAGATTCGAAAAAATGCAGCACCCTGATCCAATTGGGGGTGGGCTAGGAATGGCGGCCATTGTGGAGGCAGCTGGACCGGAATGCATCATCCCAGGACAGACTGTACCCATCAAATTACTTGGTCTTAAGGTCCTTTCTTCCCTCGCTCTTCATTAATAATTCTTTTTACTGTATTTGTCATATTACATATTTAAATTCATATCTGGTTACTTTTGTTGAGTACTGCACAGTTGGCTTTTTCTTTGATTTTTTTAAATTCACATTTCAGCTTAGTCAACTTGTGCCTTTTCAGTCTCAGCAGTAATGATCTTTTGAATTAGTCCATTTTTGTACAGTTTTAAGTAATATGGAGCATTAGGCAATTGATTGAAACCTAGTTTAAACATAGTTCAGGTTCATTTTGATTCACATTTTATCTTGATTTGTCATTTTTCTTGAATTGTAAGAGTTAATTAAGAAGCTTCAAATTTTTTCCATTTTCTGCTCAAATAAGACGGTGTAAAGAAAAAACCCATGGGTTTGTGCAGGTATGGCCTATTGTGATGGATTTGAAGTTTATGGAACCCGTGGCGCGACAACTTCACCTAATTGGGAAGGTAAAAGATATATAAGAAATAGCCCTAAATAAGAGTGACATGTTTGCTCATATTTTGGGAAATATCCCAAGATAAATTCTCACTGCTTCCTCAATTTTATGAAGTAGCAAAGAAGATGTTCTAGTGAGGATTTTCCTCTTTCCTTGGGAGGGGGGCGGTGATGAGGTCCAAATAAGCCCACAAACTAGATGGGAGAGTGCAATCAGACCTCTAGACTTAAAAAACTTGAATTGAACCCTCAAGCCTATGAAATCTGTACTTTTTAAAAGGTATACCCTTGTGTTTGCTGCTTACTCAGCGCTGAATAGCTTGCTATGTAGGCATTCAAAGCTGACATGGTTCCCTTATTACTAGATTCTCACCCGTGCGATGCACGGGGAAAAAATTAGTAAGAAATTATGTTTTATAATTAGCTTAGAATAATGATACATGATACTTTTGAAACAAATGCAATGTGTAAATGCATTAAAAGAAAATGTTATAAATATTAAGAACTCATCAATCAGAAAAGTCAAATGATGTTGATAGTAAAAGGATGATGATCAATATAACAATCAAATTGTGTTATCCTAATTACTTGTAGTTATTTTCTTAATTTGTGCATTATATATATATATATATATATATATATATATTCATTTACAATGTGCATTGTTATCATATGTTATCTTATGTATATGAAACTGGACATATATAGAAATATATGTACAAATGTCTTACTTTATGATAAGATACATACTCCCTCAACTCTTTAAAAAAAGTTACATGTTTAGGAGGTATATTAAACGTTTATAGTCGCATCTTTTGTAGCTTGGCATCTTTTCAGCTAGTTCTAACTTCTAAAAGATAAATCATCTTAATTTACAGATGAACCGGAAGTAGCTTGACAGTTGTTCAGCTGGTTCTGAAGTTTGTTTATAATCAATTATAATAGCAGTAGTAATTATTACTCCGTGTAATAGTATGGGCAGAAATAAAAAAATAAAAGCAACATGTGCTTCCCTAAAATGCTGTCATTTCTTCACTTTTAAATGATATAGACCAAAAACTATGTTTAAGAAACCGGACCAAACCATGACATGTTTAGAGTACCAAGTCACGTGTTAACCGGTTCAACCCACCGGTCACTCGGGTCGATCATATACTCCAGATGTGCCTGCATCCATATGTATTTGGTCGGCAACTGATTTAATATGTATGCATCCGGTTTCATTTTTCTTCCAAGTGGCCCCTCCTCTATCTTCCCAACACACAAGTCCCAACCACCCCCACAGCCCGACCACTTTGAAACTCTTCATTCTCCCAGCCCACAGTAGTATAGTACTACCCACCCACTCCTCACCTCTTCTCCCATTATGTCGTCTTCTTCATTTATATTCCTTTTAAAAATCAAAATCAAATTAGAGTTTCAATCGGAAAACCTTAGGACTCCTCATCCTCAATCTACACCTTGCTTGTTACTTTTGGTTCGAAATTGAAAGCATCTAAGGAAAATCAACATCTCCTTCGTCCTGTTTATCTTCTACAACAATTTATGTATGTTTCTCTCTAATCCCTGATATCTGCAAAGGTGCTGGTGGGAGGGGTTCGGAGTTTAGATCCACGGCCATAGATTAGAAAAAAAAAACCATATATATATTGACCTATTCTGCCGGAGCTTGACCAGTTTTACAGGATTTTGATCGGTTTACCGGATTTTGACCGGTTTTCGCTGGATTTTGATTGGTTCTACCGAGTTTTAGCACCTTTTCTGTCATCTGCCACCGTACACTAGTCTCGTGTCATAGCCTATTATTTGCCCATTTTTTGGTCATCCTGTCGGCCCACATCTTTATTATACAGTTACAGTGAGTGCTCCATCCCAATAACCCACATCGTGATATATATATTCTGCCCATTTACCCCCTCGTGATTTAAAAAATGCGTCAAATCTCTTTATGTTATAATTAACCAGGGAAAAGGGGCAAATAAGCCCACGTACTAACCAAAAAAGATCAAATATGCTCTTATTTAGGAGGTTCTGTCCGGCCACCACCATTTGGGGGGTTCCCGGTGGAATTTTTTGATGAAATTTTTTTAGCATCGTATTCATTAAGCCTAGTTTTCTCATACCAAATTTCAGCTAAAACTTCAATCGGGAAGGCATTCAAATGACTTCTTCAAGATAACTGCGCTTTTTTTTTAATTTTTTTTTTTATTCCAGGGGGGGTCTGGGGGAGGGGGGCTGGGGGGAGCCTGGAGTAATCAGGGCTGAAACCCACTCCATTGAGTTTCACACCCTTGTGTGCCTAGCGGGATTCGAACTCGAGACCTCCCACTAAGCACGGTAACCTCACAACCAGCTGGACTGGAATGCTTGGTTATATAACTGCGCTTTTAACTGCGCAAATATCTTCAAGAAGTCATTTGAATGCCTTCCCGATTGAAGTTTTAGCTGAAATTTGGTACGAATAAACAAGACTTAATGAATTAGATGTTCAAAAAAATTAATCAAAAAATTCCATCGGGAACCTCCCCAAATGGCGGCGGCCGGACAGAGACTCCTAAATAAGGGCCTATTTGACCTTTTTTGGTTAGTACGTGAGCTTATTTGCCCATTTTCCCTAATTAACCATGTGCAAAATCCCATGTAAGAAAAACTTTAATTGCTGAATAAAAGAAAGACGGTTAGTATTTTGTACTACATATAATTTACTATATAGAGGCCTTACAAATTTACTTTCATGTTCAATTATAACAGTAAGACTCATGATTTTCAAATTATTAAATTTGTTGCTTCAAGTTGCTATGTGTATGATTAATCGTAACACAGGGGATTTGACATGTTTTCTGAATCACAAAGGGCTAATGTGCAGATGTTGTATATCACGAGGGTTCGCTAATTAAGCCCTTTAATATTCTACTCCGTACTACTTTTACATTTTCAACGTACCTCCAATTTCCATCTCAGAGATACTTACGGTAATTAGAAAACGTAATATAGTTTACCTGCTAAATGAAAAACAACTGAGCTGTTTCTTTTGCTAATTATGTGTTTGTTCTTAGCACAAGGCATTTGTTGTGGATAGTGGCCCCTGAGGAAAGGCGCATAAGATATCGAAGGGCATCTTTCTTTTATTTTCTGACCTTAGGGACTTTAAGGACATAAAGACATGTGGTAGGCATCTGTATGAAAAAGTGATGAAATATTGGAGGCATCTTTTCTTTTCTTTTACGTGCCTCGTGCTGGTTTGGTATAATTATTAATAGTGATGAAAAACTACAATTTGTGGTTGTGGTTTGAGTATATAATAAACTAATAATGAGAAAGATGACCTTTATTTTGAGTCAACCCGAAGAGAAAAGTATGACATAAATGTGACGGATGGATTAGTAAAAAAATATACTACACTGCAACATAGGAGCTTTTTTAATATTACATTGTTATTACTTATTATGCACCTCATCCCCGTTCGTAAAGAAAGTGAAAAATAGGCTGTGAAGCCGTATATAAATATATTATTGCAAAAGGTAAAGTTCAAGCAGTTCCCATATCATCTTGTTAGTAAATGTATTTCATTGGGCAGTTCATGGATTCAGCAGTTGATTTGATGAACAAATCCTTCATTGATCGCTAGAGCTGCTGCTGTTTGAAGGAGTTAAAGCTGATGGAGGCATTATTGGCATTGATTAAATATTAAAAGAGAAATAGGCGCCCCATCCCATCCTACGTTTTGCTAAACTAAAGTATGTGGCGCCATCTAAATTCGGTCTTAGATTTCTATTTTTTGTTTGAAGAATATGTGCTATATATCTATCTAATGACCATTGATGTATAAAGTGACTTTTTTGTTTCATTTTAGGATGTTTTTACTTAGACTGTAATTTGCTGGTCTGGTCTGATATGGTCTGGTCTGAATTGGTCTGGTAAGGTCTGATTTCTTTGTATTTTTATAACTATCCAAGTCTGGTCTGGGACAAATTACAGTCCAAGTAAAAACATCCTTAGTATACTCTTTCTTCTTTCCTGATTTGTAACTAGGTGGAACCCCCAAGTATCAGAAGCTAGAAGCCCAAAGCGTTTGAACAAATTGCTGGCCAATAATGGGAGTATTTTTTTATCATATAATGGGAGTATTTATTTATTTTAACATCTTTGTTCACGATCCTTTCATGATTGTATTAAATATGAATGCTCTTCAGTAGGCATGGATCGGGCCTCGGTCAGGCTTGGCCCCGGACCGGGATTGGGAGGGATTGGGGATTTGGGCTGAAGGCCCGATATCGGCCGGGGTTTGAACTGGGAATGGGCCGGGTTGGGGCATATTTCTTTTTAAAATTAGTCTTTTCAAATTTATTCCTACCCCCCACCCTCCACCCCCGCCAAAACACCTAGCCCAACCTATCTGAGCCGCTTCACTAAAACAAGGTCTCGAAGCCCGTCCCAGTACCGGACCACTAGTACCGGACCCAGTACTGCCCGACGGGTCCACTCAGGCCTGCACAGTGGTGGACTGGGCCGGGTCCGGGATGGGCCGACCCGTCCCAGTCCATCCCTACCTACAATATTCTAAAAAAACGAGAATAAAAAAGACGGTGGGTTTGACATGTTCAAATCCTGATTGGATTGCAAAAGGGAGAGAGATGGGTTTGACATAGGCTTGGACCCAATTCGGGCCACCCGACCTGGGAACCGGCCCGGTACTGTTTGGGCCCGGCCCGGCCCAGGAACCAGTAGCGGGTCTATGCTCGGTTTAAAGGGGAAACCGGGGGCGGGTACGGGCTTAGGGAATTGAGAACCAGCTCGGCCGGTTCCGGGCCCGGTTCGGGCCTTTTCAATTTTTTTTTTTTTTGGTTTGGGGCTTTGGGCTGGGTTTAAATGGGGTGCATTGGGTGTTTCCGATGGGTTTGTGGGATGGGGGGTGGGTGGGGGGTAGGGGATAAAATAATCAAGAAAAAAAATGGAACCGGACCCGACCTACCCCGGCCTGAGCCCGGACTGGCACCAGTCAACTACCAGGCCGGTCCCGGTTCTCACAGTTTTTTTTTTTACCGGGAACCGGGCCCGGTTCAGTCCATGACTAGTTTGACATTTTCAAATCCTGACTGGATTGCAAAAGGGAGAGAGAGAGAGCCCTTCATATATTTTTTTTGTCTTTTGGCTTCCCTCTCAAGTCCTAAAGAACTGGTTATCAAAGATGATTACATGGTGCTGGGGGGCTAGGGCATTAACGTAGCTAGGGTTAACATGGCAGTCAAGAAATACAAGATGATGGGGTTAAAGTCAACCAGTCTGTAGCTTCCGCCGCCGGGATAATCCTCATCTCCTGAATCCGCCACCAACTCAGTTTCTCCATCATCAATGCTAGCGTTCCCTGTAGAAGCAATCCATTTGCCCATTTTGCCCCTGCTGCTGCCAACAAGGACACCAGCATTCATGGTGAGCTGGTCGATGAAATTCACAGTTTTGGGCTCCACACTGTAGGCCTTCTCATATTTGACTTCCACAGTGTCACCTGACTCCACAAAGAAGGCCCCGTTTAGCATTATGTCCCCCTCGCTCCTCCAATTCCATTCTGACCACTCCTCTCTTGTCTCTACTCTCTTTGTTATCTGCAAACATCCCACCCTCCCTCTCCTTTATCAATCTATATTATATATGTAACTAATAATCCACACTACAATTCAAATTATCATTTAAAGCTTACCTCTTTGGCGTTACGGTCAAAGGGCGCCATGTAACGATTGCCTTGGCTGTTTATAGTAGGATTACCGCTTCCCCCAATAGCATACATTTCCCACCTCGTGAAATCATTGTTGACGATGTGAATGAATCCTCTCCGACACCTAGGCATCCTTTGCACGAGATTGTGCCCAAAGTGATTGAAAGCAATGGTCACTTGCATCCCCGAATCTGGGGCATATTTGTCACTATGGCCCAACAACATCACCTCATTATGAGATGAAAAATGGTTGTTTGATATCGTGATCCCCGTTGATCCCATCACCACGTCAATTAGGCCATCCTTGCACCTAGACAATGAGCAGTGGTCGATCCATATGTCCCTCGCCCCAAAGATGGAAATCCCATCTCCATCTGATCTGCTTCTCCACCCATAGTGTGTTGGGCTTGACCGCACATTTGCCTCACCCGACTCGTAACATCCGTACACGTGGATGTTGTGGATGATGACGTTTGAGATGTACTGCAACGTTATGCAGCCACCGCCGTTGATGTGGATATCAGCTCCACGCCCGTCAACGGTCTTGTACGAGTTGAAGATGAGCTCTTGAGAGAGGTGGATGCCCATATTTGCCGCGAACACAATCCATAGCGGCTCCTCCTGGATGACTGCGTGTCTAAGTGTGCCGGGACGTGGGGTGACTGGGTCGGAGTCAGATGAGTCTGTCACCACATAATAACGGCCTCCTTTGCCACCTAAGGCGTACTGTCCGAACCCAATGCCACAATCTGCTAATCTCTGGCGGTTCAGTTGCCAGTTGGAGTTGCACCGCCAGCAATCGTCAATGGGGTTGCCCGTCAAACAGGATAAAGACTGGCTGCCCCCTGATAACAACAATCTCCTCCTCCGGGACATGTGTGTGGAGAGTGAAGCGTTAACTTTGCTGCATATATGTGGACGCAAATATTAGAGGCCATCCAGAACAAGATTTATTTCTACACGTGCTCTCCAATTATATATCATTCGGACCATACTTGTAGCTAATTTAGCAAACTACATGTAAAATTAACTGATCAAGTTGGTAAGATAATTACCAAGGAGTTTAGAGAATAATATGTGATCTATAAGAATTTGATATCGGTAGAGGTATAAATATAGGGGAAAACTCATTTTTCAACCCCTCATTTTTGTGCAAGTACTCTCTTTTTATTTTTGCAAATATTGTCCTTTAAATGTGTAATAATTTGTAATTTGATCGCCGCCATTATTAATTCAACAAACTTCATTCCCACGTTATTAACATCAAGGGCTTGATTTACAACAGGTAAAATTAAGGATGTTTTCTTTTGGACTGTTTTCTGTCCCAGACCAGATCAGACCATATCAGATCATACCAGACTTCCGTAGTTATAAAATACACAAAGATCAAACGTTTATCAGAACAGTTCAGATCAGACCAAACCAGACCATCAAATTTCAGTGCAAAAGAAAACATCCTTAATGGTCGATATTAGCGGCATATTGTGTATAATAAAGAGATGAGATTATCACATATTACGTATATAAAAGAGCTTACTACATGATTTACTGAAATTTATAAAAATCAAGGACTGCCTTTCAGTACACGATACTGATATATCTATAATCAATCTATAATAATCTATAATAACAATAATATCTATAATAATAATAATATAAAGTAACAAAATGTTGACCTTGGTTTTCCCGCCCATGCACCATTTATGGTAAATCTATAACCTAATTAATGCACACTCAATGACACAAATCTATTGACATATGTGATTGAACCTTTAGTAGATCGAGGCCTCATGCATCATTCTTTCTGATACATATAAAATGATGTTTCTTAATTAGGTTGATTTTAAATTTGAGATTAGACTAGAGCTGAATTATATAAAACAGATCACACTAGATTTACAAAGATTAGACCAACCCTGAGTTAAATAGTAGTAAAGTATAAACATTCCAAACAAACCAGACCACACATAGAGAAACATGCTAGAAAATTTCATTCTACATAAAAAAATCCCAAGTATCACAATAATTACAATAGTAATGTTATTATTGTTATTTATTTATTGTAATATAAGGATGTTTTTAGTTTGACTAATTTCGCTCACGCAATCAAATCAGACTAGATGAGACTTAATTAAACATTCCAAACTAGAGCATACATAATCAGTCTAGACCAGACTATACTTAGACAATGGTAAAATACATACTACGTATAAAATAGACTTTTATCAGACTACTAAATCAAACCGAGCCAGTTCACATGACACCAAACTAGACTAAATTATACTACGTACCATTGAATTTCATTCTAAGTTAGAAAACCATTTTTATAATCCCCCCCCCCCCCCCCCCTTTCCCACCCCCTCTAGAACATTCAATCCAAAGGCATCTAAATTAAAAAGTTTACTTTCTCAGCAAATATGAATATTAAGTTACGGAGTACATGGTGTTATTAAATTACATTTTTCATGCTTTTGACAATTAGTTATAGGCAATGTTCTAAAAGGCGCTAGGCGCTAGTCGGGCGCCAACCCAGTGCCTAGCGCCTAGGCGGGCGCCTAGTCGGGGGCTAGTCGGAGACATAGAAATTGCATTTTTATCTATATTTTTGCATAAATATGATAAGTAATATAGTATTTTTGTGTATAAAATACATATATACATACACATTAACAAACATGAATGATAGAATTATCACATTTAATCATACATAGTATATGACTAATCAGTTAACTTCATTATGTTATAAATATAAATTCATATAGGTTTATCTTAATTTACAACTTTATTTCTTTATATCCATGGCTAAAGTTAAAATACATTTACGTTTAGAAAATTAAAATTAAAAAGTGAAGTAATGTTCGGCCAATCTAGACGGCCTAGGCGGTCGATTAGGTACTCTAGGCGGGCAACTAGGCGCCATAGGCGGCCGACTAATTCACCTAAACGGCTAACCAACTAATCGGAGCGCCTAGACGAAAATCGGGGCGCTCGGCCACCGCCTAGCGCCTAGGCGGGGACTAGTCGGACGCCTAGAACGATTTTTAGAACAGAGGTTATAGGTATTGAAATACTCATAATGTGTACTAATAGCATTGCTTATATTGCGCACAAGTACTTTGAACAATTAAGTAAATTATAATCTAAAATAAAAAAAAATTATTTACGCATGCATGTTTGATAGACCTAATAAAATCTTTTTCTGTTAAAGAGAATATTATTCTCTTAAGCCAATTTTAAAATAGTAAACTTGACAGTAATAATATGTATAATTTGATATTGATTATAAATTTGCAAAACACACATGTAATTAATCTAATTATACTATGTGGAGAATGGAGATGGGTTAAAAACTGGTATCTATTACTCCGTATATAGGATGTTTTCTTTTGGACCGAAATTTGCTGCTCTGGTCTGATCTGAACTGGTCTGGTAAACGTCTGATCTCTGTGTATTTTATAACTATGGAAATCTGGTCTGGTCCAATCTGGTCTGATCTGATCTGGTCTGATCTGGGACTGAAAACAGTCCAAAAGGTGATGTAAGACCGAAAAGGATGTTGCTAACATGAAGTCAGCTTTGGTAGTTGGTTCAAGAAATAAAGGGTCGGTTTGTTAGGGGAATATCGGAGGAGAGAGAAAGGGAGAGGTCATATATAAATTTAAAATAATTTTTACATTTAGAAAAATTGAAATAAAGTGAAGATACACAATAGTACATTTTTTGGCTGTACTTTCTTTTTTTCTCATAGTATTTGTTCTGTTAAATGCCAACATGCTTGACTAGCCAGGATGAGTTTTGAACATGTGGTTTAACTAATCATACAGTTATTTGTAGTCTAAAAAATGACAAAATTTAGATAAATGTGTAAAATAAAAAATCTACCCTTCCCTCTCTTTATCTCCAAAATCCCCAAACCAAACAAGCCCTAAGTGATGATGACATATAAGGGGTTAAAAGATAACTTTTGTGCTTTTTTTGGGTGGTAAAAGCCTAAATGATTATTTTTAAACACCGATTTTACTTATTTTTAAGTAGTTTTAAAACAAAAGCTAAAAGTATGGAGAATGGTGTTTTTCATTTAACACTCTAATTTTTACTTTTCCAACTTTTTTTTAAACACCGATTTTACAACAACAAGTACTTTTCATTTAACACTCTAATTTTTACTTTTCAAACTTTTTTTCTTGAACACTATTAACTTTTATTGTTGATCATTTTATATATTTCTTCCGTTCTTTTTTAATTGCAACGGTCTTCTTTTCACATTTACCAACACACAAGTTTGATCATTAAAAATTTCATTTTAAAATTTGAAAATTTTAAAATATTATTAAAAGAATTAAAAATTTCAAAATTTGAAAATTTAGAATGAGAGAAAATAGTATTTTTCAAAAATTTAATTTATAATACATAAATAAATAAAATATTACTCCCTCCGTTCTCTATTAGATGTCCTTATAGGGTTTGATACAAGTTTTAAGAGAAAGATAATAAAGGTAGTGGAAAATGTGTAGTGAGTTGTGTTTAAATGAAAAAGTAGGAAAGAGAATGAGGGTAAATGGGTATATTTATTGAAAAAATTACCAAATATGAAAAGATAGACAATTAATAGAGAACATACCAAAATAGAAAGAGGGACAAGTAATAGAGAACGGAGGGAGTATTAAAATAGAAAATGGAAATACTGCAAAATTCAGCATAATAAAAAAGATAGGGAAATAATATACTCATTTCTAAGAATATCATTTTTTAAAAGCAAAAGCCGTTTAAACTTTAAAACGCTACGTGAGTCATTTCACTTTGGTTTTAGTCAAGTTTTGCAGAACAGGCCTCTCTCCTTTTTAAAGCCAACGGCAAAAAAAGCTGACGCAAAGTCGCAAAGCACAAAGCACGAAGCAGTTTTGAGTGGAAAATTGTACGTACATACCTAGTAACCTACAGCAGCTTCCATCATTTATTTGACTCGTAAATTTTCGTCCAACGGCCGCATCCCTCATTTACTAACGTTTTTTGAAACGTTAACATGGAGGACCTCCAACCACTTTATTATTACTTCAACCATTTTGCTTTTTATACACACAGTGAACAGCTAAAATATTTGTTTCTCTATCATACACAATTCTCTTTACAAAAAATAATTTCTTCATAGACAAAAATCCGCATGTACAAACAACAATTTTCTTACTTTAATATGACCTACGTCCCTAAACAACAATTTGTACTTGAATAAAGAAAGTGAGATTTGAGGATTAAGAATGAAATGTGTTAAAAAATACTGTGAACAACAAATTATTTACCAAAAAAAGAAAGAAGACATTATATTGAGACGGAGGAAAAAAGTTAGAAAATAATTCAAAGACAAATGGAGTACTCCCTCCGTCCCAATTTGATGATCCCGTATTTTCTTTCTGGGTCGTCCCAAATTGATAGTCTCATTTCACTTTTTGGAAAGAAATATATGATTCACATCATTTCACCTTTTTCTACTCAAATCTCAATCACAACTTTTACCTTTTCAACCACTTTCTTAATCTTTGAGTCCAAAAGAAATGAGCTCATCAAATTGGGACCGAGGGAGTATTATATATTGAAATTGGGTAGGGCAAGTACGTGGTATAGGCATGCATTTGAGGCCGGGGGCCACAATGTAAATTATTAGTACTAGAGTATTATTTTTTGAAAAAGTTCCCCTAATTATTTTACTCTTCGAAAAGAAAAGTAGTGGACAAAATTGTGATTTGATAACTTTTAGTGACTATAATTGTGTTCAAAGTTACTACGATATAGTAACTACGATAGAAACATTGAACACAATTATAGTCACTAAAAATTACTAAGTCGCATTTTTGTGCATGACCTTTTTCTTAGTAATATTTTATGAAATTTAAAAGCACTCAAGCATGCATTCGCCAAAAACTGGTCTGGCCTGCAATATAGAGTTAGTTTTAGGATAGGATAGAGTGAGTCTGCTGCCTGGCCGGCCTGCATTGCATATATATGGTGTGTAGGCTACAAAGCTGAGGCTTAACTTTTTGTTGAGCAGCCAAGCCAAGCCAAGCTAAGCTGCTAGGTATGTATATGCAGGGCCGGTCCTGATATTTTATGGGCCCGGGACGATAGAAAAAAGAAGGCCCTTAAAAGGTTATATAAATATATTGCAAAAGCTTAACTTTATATACGCAAATTTCAACATACAAAGTAATGTAAGTCTTTCATCAAACTCTTAATATATAAACTAAACGAATAAAAATCATATTAAAAAATAAAAAATAAAACCAGAGAATTACTTGTGAAATTGAAATTTCAAATTTGGAAGATATTTTTGAGAAAATTAGGAGAGTGTTAATTGCTGAGCAAAACGAATTAAAGACCAAAGATGAAACCTTGAAATTAGGCCTGCCTAACGGGAAATGATGTCAGACCGGGGCCATTTGAGGCCCTTCCCGATAGAATTTTTTCATAATTTTTTTTAAATATATTCTTCATGAAATCTTTAATATCTCCACAAAGTTTCAGATTAAAACTCAACCTGAAAGTCAGTTAAATAAATTATTGAAAGATAGTGCGCATTATTTATATACACAAAGCGCAGTGTGTTTCAATATTTTATTTAACTGACTTCCCGGTTGATTTTTAAACTAAAATTTTGTGAATGTAATTTACTCTAAAAAAGTTTCAAAACAAAATTCCTCCATAAAGGGCCCCAAATGACCTCGGTCTGATATGAATTGTCCTCTCTTTATTTATCTATTTATATATAATTATGGTCCCCTGTAAATGTTGGGCCCGGGGCACAAGCCCGGCCTGCCCTTGTCCAGGGCCGGCCCTGTGTATATGGAAATGAAAATGGGTAGTGGCGCGCCGGCCGGGAGCGAGCATTATGATCGAAGACACGTACCTCTGAAAATGTTGAACCACAGCCTCAGGATTGGGGTGCTGACCGGGAAGAGACGCCGCCGCCGACCAAGACACGGCGGGGGCAGCAAGGGATGCTGATGATGTAATTATACCCATCACCGGGAGTATGTAAATGATGCCGCCGCACCATCTTTCCACCACCATTTTTTCTTTCTTTCGCCGCCCGGCCTGCTTATTAATTAGCTTCTTTTCTTTCGGAAAAAAAAAATATATACCAAATACTACTACGGACAGTGCTTTCAAGTTTTCACTCAGTCCGTATGCTACTTTTGGGTGCCAATAATATACTCTTGCCGTAGTCCCATTCTACCCTTCATCCCATTTTAGCCCTCTTACTTTTTATTTTGAATTATATTGTTCCAAACCAATTCCAATTTAGTCCTCTTCCATTTTGGGATGTTCTATATTAATCGTCTCCTTTTTTTCATTTTTGGTAAGTTTTTTCAATAAATATACTCATTTACCCTCATCCTCATTCCTACTTTTTCATTCTCTTTCATACTTTTTCCTTTACACACAACTCACTATACCTTTTATCCTACCCCTATTAATTCCTTCTCAAATCTTGTGTGAAAGGCTATACTTCCATCTATTAGAGAACAGAGGAAGTATTATTTTTCAAAGGAAATAGGGAAAATGGAAATTAATAATCCAACCTTTTAACGGTCTTCTTATAATAGTCTCACCTTTTCGTTATTCATGAATAATCCAACCTTTGCACATCATCTTCATTCACTGGTCCATGACTGGTTGCTGACGTGCTATTCCAAGTTATTTTTTTATCTTTGCAAACCATTATACCATAAATCTCACCTTTCACAAATATAATATTTTGCAAAGATAAAAAAATAACTTGGAATAGCAAGTCATTAACTGGTCAGGGACCAGCGAAGGAAGATGGAGTGCAAAGGTTGGATTATTCTTGAATAACGAAAAGGTGGGACTATTATAAGAAAACTGCTAAAAAGTTGGATTATTAATTTCCATTTTCCCAAGGAAATACTTGCTTTACACCGTTTCACTTTATTATATACACAATTCTTAATCCTAATTTTTACTACGTACTTTTTTAACCAATGTATTAATAATTGTTCAAACCAAAACATACTCCGTACAATAAACATAGATAGTACTACATAAACATAATGAAAATCACTACAAGGGTGTTTTTGTCCGTACCGCATTTAGTACTCCGATCCTATTTGAGAATTTTATACATTAACTTCTATTTTTACATTTTAAGTATGTTTTACTCCTATTATGTGAATTTTCCCTCTAATAAATTCTAAATTGCAATATCAATCCGATAAATAAAATAGTGTTTTGTAAATCCGAAAATAGTACAATATATACAAATTTAATAGTGCATCACATTGAGAAAAATTGTAAATATTTGCAGTTTCACGGAAAGCATGATTTATATATACGGCCAGTTTCTAATGAAAAGTGGTCTTCCCGTACAAAGTGCGAACGACTCCATTTCTTTTATCATTTGCAGTGCATTATTTCATTCAGAATATTTTCGCTATCCACCTTTGATTATATACGATACACTATTACATATAGGAAATGCACATTTTGCTAGGCATGACACCAGTTCGGTTCCTACTCAAAATTAATAATCACTAGTATAGTGTTGAGGCTTATTCCTTCAACCCTCGGGTCCAACACGTAAGCCCAAGGATTTCGAGTGGAGTGCGTATGAATACCTAGCCCAACAAGCAGATGATATGGATCAAAGAGACAAGAAGTAGCAAGTAAGTGATTAGGTATTATTATCTCTTAATAACTCCCTAATACAATACTTTTCGCTAGGGCTCCGTCGGCCGTTCGTCTTACAAGGCAGTAGAAGTGCTGCGAGTAAGAATGCTATAGCTAGAGTGCTAAGAATAGAAAGTTGCCAACCCTTTACAATGAAATAAATGCTTCTATTTATACCCACCAATGGGCAGGTGGCTATACTGACGTGGAAGCCCGTGGTTCGCTGGTGTCTCAACCACCAAATCTTCAACATTAAATGCACTTCCCGCCAGAATCTAGGTTTCCCGCCTAATTAGTGGGCACGTCCGTCCGCCAGGGGAGCGAGTTGGACTGCTCCAGGTGGCCCCCAAGGGGTATCAGCCGTTCGTCCCCTGGCCTTTGGCTCCAGGTGGATTCTCGCCAAGCGGAGTGGACCGCCTCTGATGGCTATAGGCTTGTCCTGGCGACGTTCGTCGTCATCCGGGCGACCCGTGGTCCTGCTCCTTGTCCCTGCATAGACGTTCGTCGAGATGGGCCGTTGAGCCTGGCCCAACCACAGACGTTCGTCTCTCCTGGAGAAAATGGGCTTGCCAGGTTAGCTCGGTGATCTACCTGGACGTTTGTCTGGAAGGGATAAATGGGCCGAACCTCGACTTGGGCCATTAACCCAACACAAGTCCCCCACTTCTGATGTTCTGGGTATGCACAGGACATAAGGAAGTAAGACGTTCGCGACCTGTCACTTTTGCGTTTGTTGCATCCGGTGAAGGCGTACGCTCGTGGTCATGATGCTTAATAGCTGTCGATGGCTCAGGAATCGAGGTGACGGCTGCCATTGCGACGGTGCATTTTCCGAGGAAACGCCATCATTACGCTTCCATCCCACGCTCAGCGCGTGGGCCGGAATACGCTCCTTGCTACGTGTCAACCCCTCGTTGGTTCCCTCACCGGTGCTTCTCCTATAAATGCCGGGTTTTCCCTCTGGATTAGGGTTCCCAATTTTTGCTCTCTTGCTCTAGAATTCCCGCTGCTCTTCAAGTCTTCTCCCGCTTCCGAGTTCGACTAATTTCTTTCTGAGGTAATTTTCATCCTCTGCTTCTTTTACCTGTCTTGAATTCTCGCCGAGATGGTTTCGATGGAGATCTCGTCAAGTTCTGGTTCTGGTTCGTCGGGTTCCTCCTCGGGCTCCTCCTCCGACTCCGGTTCACGCTCTTCGGGCGAAACTAGCACTTCCGGTAGTTCCGGCTCGGCCCCTACCGTGGGAACTGTTCAGGCCGGGGGAGCCCAAGGTGATGTTGTTGCGACTATCCCTGGTGATGAGGGTGCTGATTCGGGGGAGCAAGATAATATGGCCCTCGATGTGGTGGACCCCGTGGCTGACACCGGGGAACAGGAGTCCGCTAGTGAGGACGGTCGTCCGGCCGGATATGACTCTGGGGCCGAGGCCCAGGATGGCTCTGACATCGAAGTGTTTGATCTCGGGCTAAAGGTGGATGTGGAGAGGCATTTGTGCCCGATCAAGAATGTCCTCTTCCATGAGCAGATCTTCTCGCCGGTAGCTCTTAACAAGCTCAAGGTGTTCTTCCCTCCCCCGTCCGTATACAGCCTCCGTGGCGCAACCCACGTGATGAGGAGACGCCCAGGGATGATTATGGTGCTTCTGGACTCCATCGAGGCCGGGCTGCGCTTCCCTCTTCATCCGTTCTATGTGGAGTTCTTCTGCTGTTATCAAATAGCCCCCGCACAACTCATGCCGAATTCATACCGGTTCGTCTCCGCCTTCCTAGTCCGTTGCAAGGACAATGGGGTCACCGCCACTTTGGACTTGTTCCATTACTTCTACCGGCTCACCCCCCAAAACTCTGACGGTTTCCTGAGCGTCGCAGCCCGTCCAAAACGGAGGTTGTTCAGCGGAGCACTGAGTTCCATCCACGACTGGAAGAATCGGTTCTTCTTCGTGCGGTATGCGGATGCTCGTCTGCCATTGCGGTGGAATGGCTATCCGCCCAAGATAGGGTCTCCGGATCTGACCGACGATCTGGAGGAAGACGTCAGAAAGATCTCGACGGACGGCGTCCGGCCCTTGGAGGACTTCCTCACCTTCGAGGCACTCGCCGCAGCAGGAATAGGTACCGCCCATGCTCTTGGACTTCCCCCCTCCTACGCTCGTCTCGGGGTACTGGGCGGTCCTGACCTCTGAGGTGAGTGTTTCGAGATATTCCTGACGTTCGTCCTTCTAACCCTTGCTTTTTCCATTTTTTCAGGTCTTCCCCCAACCCAGGAGCAAATGAATCACGAGAAGCTCCTAAAGACAAGGAAAGGCAAGGGCGCTGCCGCCGATGCCGCTCTTGCCAAGGCCAAGGCTGTTCAAATGGCTGATTCCAACTCCTCTGCCTCTCAGGCCGACCGTCGCACGGTGGAGGCAGAACAGCACCTTATCGCCACGGTGATGGCGCAGGGGTCCCAGGCCCCAATCCCAGGTTCTGGCGCCTCCAAAGTTGTGGCCCCCTTGCAGACCGTCCATCCCCACGACGGGGAAAAGGCGAAGGACAAGAAAACCAAAAGGCCTCGGGGGACTGACTCTTCGGCCCCCGAAGGGCAAGAGTTGATCCTTCCCTCTCTTGGACGTCCGGCGCATGATGTTTGGCAGGAGATTGCTTCCCTGGCCGGCGTGGAGATGCCTCCCCGGACGTCTTCGGAGGCTTCCAATGCGGCCCTGGCCGCCGCTCTTCAGGTGAGACTTCGCTCCCTGCCGGGTGCTTGATTACCTCATTCTGATGTCTTGAAGTCTCACCTTCCGTGTTTGATTTGTAGGTCGGGCTCTCCGTTTTGCAATCCGAAGCTGCCCGAGATGCCGAGGTCCTTCAGGCAAAGAACAAAGCGGACGCGGCCTTAAGGAAGGCGAGAGAGGCCGCTCGTCTCCAGGAGAAGGAGATGGCGGCCAAGGACAAAGAACTGCAGGCTGCCCTGAAGGTAGCTGGCGAGTCCTCCGCGAAGATCGAGGTTCTGGAGAAGGCCGGGTTCAAGCTCGTCCCGGCTCTCCCCGCTCCCAAGGATGAGGCCCCTGAGTGGCTCGTCGATGATTCCGGGTACCATAACTCTGGGGCCTTCATGATCGCCGCCCAGAGATACCTTGGGGGCGCCTTCGGCGATGTATTCGCCGCCGAGTTCCAGAAGCGTGCGCCGAAGGACCGGCTCAAGTTCGGGGTCCAGGTCCTGGCGAGTGCCCCCCTGGCCGAGAAGTTCTTGTACGATGTTGGAGATTCCTCCTTCGTCATTGGCTATAATGAAGGGGTGAAGGCCACGTTGCCCGTATTTGCTGCTCTTCAGGGTCCCGGATTCAACCTGGCCCAGCATACCTCGGACCCGGAGCTGATTCGAGCGGTAGGCAAATTGGAGCGGGACGCCCGGCGGGAAGAGGCCAAAGCCAGAGGTGAGGTCCCGGAGCCCCCGAGCCCGAGCCCGAAGAGGAAGAAGAACCTATCCCTGGGGGGTCCTGGCCTGTTTCCCCGAACTTCGTCTGATGTAAATTGTAAACCTCTTTGTTCTGATTCTGTAATATCCGGCCAGTAGAGCCGAGGAATACACAACTCTTTTTGCCCCATCATTGTCTCTACGCTCATGAACTCTTCTTGCTTCCTTTCATTGTTAGTATTATTCCTATTTTCTTTGGATTTGCTGAAGTTCGCAAGGACGTTCATGTCCATAATCATTTTTGCATTCCGGTCTTTCGAGATATGGACGTATCGCCAGGGGTTCGTCCCGTCTGTGTAAACCACCTCCCGCACTGTACGTATTCAATCCTACGTACGGGTAGAGACGTTCGTCACGTGGTTACAGGCATAACTATCCATGCTGTGCGTGCCCAACTCAAACTTTGTGGGGTGACGTTCGTCTGCTTAACTAGATATGGGGATTCGGACGCACTCCTCAGAGACAATGCCTTGATAGAGATGTTCGTCGCGTTAGGAGTAGTATAACCTTTTATGCCGTGTGCTCAACCCAGATATCGGTCATGGACGTTCGTCTGGTCGCGTGTTGCGGTGGTGCGAAGCATGGAAATATGAACGCATCCCGTGGATACGCACGTCTCCTCGTGAATTTAGCCTGTGGATGCGGTCTTCGCGTGCCTCTATGGGGGACGTTCGTGGCACCAAACCGGGTTCTTTCGCGGTGACTGTGGGGTGGTAACATCGAGGCGCCTTTAATACCGTGGTAGGTACCGGTAGTCAGGCGCCACGTGTTCCACCGCGATTGGTGCGATCCCTCGGTGCTGTCTATAAGTACCGAGAATCTTGTGAATTCCCCATTCGCTTCACCTCTAGCTCTTGTGCTGCGCAACCACTTTCTCTCTCTAGCTTTCCTCTGCATTGCTTCAGGCTCGAACCCCGGTAGGTACCGAACGTCGTCATGTCTTTATCTAGGTTAGAAACCCAAAACATTGATTCAAGGACCCGAAGCAGCTCGTCGTCCGCCGGGGATAGGTTTGACGACGGGTGTTCCTCCGGTGATGATCTAGAGTTCTATGAGCGGGGTATGCCACCTCGGCCCCCCCGCCATCATCTGAATTTCTCCGGCGTTCGTCGTCAGCGCCAACGTCTGTTGAATGCGGACCTTCGGTTGATAAGCCAATGGTTCCTCCCTCCAAGGGTTTACGACGATCGTCGTCTACGCAATCCAATACGCCATCTGCCCGGCTATGTGGTGGTCCATCTAGACTCCGTTATAGTTGGCCTTCTTTCCCCCCTCCATAGCTTCCATATAGAGCTTTTTAGGAGCCTCAGAGTGACGCCTGCTCAGTTCGTCCCCGCTGCTTACAGGATTATCGCGGGTTTTGTAATTAGATGTCACAGTGTTGGCGTGACCCCCACCGTAGACTTATTGCACCACTTCTTCCGGTTCTCCCCCTTCGGACGTACGGGGTATTTGACCCTGATTGCGCGTCCGTCCATGGTTCTGTTCTCAAACAACGCCGGGAACCCGGACGGCTGGGAGGAGCGGTTCTTCCTCGCCGAAGTAGGCTCCCCGATGCCGTTCTCCGATAGGTGGAACGCCTACCCGGTGAAGTCCATCCCGCCGCCTATGACGGATGAGGAGCTTGGCTATGCCAAGCGCATAGCTGGTCTTGGCGTCCAGAACCTCCGGTCGCTGGTGGCCGAGCCTTTCAAAGCTCGGGCCGGACTAGGTGCGTCTATTTGTACTTGCATTGTCCTATCACCCTTTCGTTGTTATGGTTCTGAACGTCTTGACTTTCTTTCTGCAGGAGTTTTCCCATCTACATCATCCATGGGACGTACCAATGTTGCTTCGCATGCCCACGGCCGAGAAAACACAGACGAGGATAGGGGCAGAAAACCGCTCGTCCCCAAGATCGAGTCTCGGGCGAGCAGGAGGCGGTCAGACGATGCGTCGGAGGCCGGGGCTTCAAAGAGGCCGCGCATCAATGGTACTGCCTCCAAGGCCATCATAGTGGCTGACGACTCCGATGGTGAGCCTGGGAGTCCCTTGAAGCGGAGACCCTCTTCTCGGAACAAGCCCCTTATTTCTCCTCCGTTGATTTCTGAAGTTCGTCGACTCCGGGATGAAGATGTCCATGCCACCAAGGGCTCTGACGATGCTCGTCCTCCTTCGCCCTCAGAAACCAACGGGTCCTCTCTTGGCCTTATCGAATTCTCCGGGGTTGGCCCTCGCAAGGAATCGATGATGCTTTTTGGCCAGACCACATCTTCCATCTGGTGTGGCCTCAACCTCAAGGTCCCCCAAGATTTCGCCGCTCATGAGTCCCCGGAAGATCTCCTGGAGTGTGGGCAAAGTACCCTGGACAAGGCCGGGCTCTACTTCCACAGGGCTCGGATGGCCTTTGAGCATCAGGGTAAGGAGATGGCTCGAGTGCGGGCTGAATGTGATGCCATCCTGAGGAACGCCAGAGGCAGGGCCGGGACGCTCCAAGAGAAGGTCGATGCCTACGACAAGTTTGCCCAGGAGAATGCCTCCCAGAAGGAGCTCCTTAGGAAGCAGGAAGCTGAGCTTGTGGACCTTCGTAGCCGGCTGTGGGCCGTGGAGCAGGCAAAGGTGGAAATCCGCCGTACGGGTGTGGATAATCATGTCCCGATCTATGAGGCCGATGTTGCCAAGATCAAGGAGTCCGGTTCCATCGAGTTTCAGAAATCCAAAGCCTACACTGGCGTTATTCATACTATGGCCATGAGGTTTCTTCCGCGGTTCGTTGGCGAGTTTTTGGCCACCTGCCCGGACGCTTATTTAGATGGCATCAAACTGCTCCAGACCACCCCCACTGGGGAGCGCTTCCTTGATGATCTTGCCGACGATACTTACCTCAAGGGTATGGTCGGCCTTGTGGCAGAGAATCTCCAGGTCTTTGAGCGTCATTTCGGGGCTCCCTTTGACCCTGCGGCAGCTGGGTTTGATTCCTTGATGGTAGATGCCCATAAGGGGGCCCTTGAGCTGCTGAGAGAGCGTAAGGAGCGTGAAGAAGCCGAGGCCAGGGAAAAGGCCAAGCAGGTCTCTTTCAAGGTTCCAACTCCGGACGTTAACCAGAATTGATTCTCCGTTCATAGTCTTGTACTTTACACATTGTACCAATTATTTCATTGTTTACATGGTACCTTGCACATTGTACTTTCCGGTCGTCAGTACCGAAGAATAAAAATCATTCTTGCTCCATGTTCGTCTAGCATATCTTGCTTTCCGTTTTTTTTGGAGTCTTTTTATTGGTCTTCGTTCTTCCCAAGTCTCGTGAGTACTGGTCTCCTGTTTTCGCAGGAGACGTTCGTCATCCCAACTATGAGAAGAAACAGGTTTATCCACGTCGGGATTCCCTATCTCTGTTCGTCCCCAGTTACGAACTACTAGTCTTCTGGCTTCGCAGAAGGCGTTCGTCATCCGCTCATCAGGGGGAGGAACCGGTATACCCTGTCAGGGTTCCCGTGTCTTCGTTCGTCCTTGTCGGGACCCTACTAACCTTCTTGCTTCGAAGAAGGCGTTTGGTGTTCACCGATCGCAAGGAGGTCACTGGTTTACCCTATCGCGGGTTCCCTGCTTTGTCGTCCCATGCTCGTGGTCCTACTAGCCTTCTGCTCTGGCAGAAGGTGTTCATCGATCCACGGGACATGGGAGGAACTGGTTTATCTTGCCGAGGTTCCCTTTGGTTCGTCTAGCCCCCCCCCCCCCCCCCCCCCCCCCCCGCGTTCCTACTAGTCTCCGTGTCAGGAGACGTTCGTCGTACGCAGCGAAGGAAGATCTGGCATACCTCGTCAAAACTCCCTCTCTCATAGGAGTCATATCTCCCCTTCTCCTCATCTTTTTTTTTGTTTTTTTTTTTTGAGGAGGAAATCATTTCAATAGCACTTTGGCTTTAATCTCTGAAAGACAGGAAGTAATCCTTTTAATATAGATAGGACGATCGGTAGTGTTTACATGGTGCTTCGACCAAATATGACAAAAAACGATCTATCTCTAACTACTGATAGAATTTCTTCAAGTGTTCGACGCATAGTCACATGGATCGCGGTACGCCATGGTACGCGGTACGAAAACGGGAACGTGGATCGCAAATATTAGAAATCCGATACGCGAGGGGGTAGGCTTCTTCGGTACGCTATTTCGGTACGCGGAACGTTGTCCCATTTGTTATGGTACGACGTGCCATAAACATATGTGTAGTACAATTTACCAAGTATAAATACAATTAATTAAATATAATTAATATAATACGGAGTATTAAAGAATTCACTTCAATGAGTCAGTCTTTAATCATTTGCTTATGTGTACCATTTTTTTTTTGGAAATTGTGTACCATAATTAAATACAAAGGTTTGAACCACGAAGTCTTTAAAGATTGTGTGGCCTGGAAAAAGCAACGTCGTTTCAATCCTTAAATTCGTTTAGCTTTTTGAAGTTCGAACTGTGAAATCTAAAGAAATAAAAAGTCGTTTCAGACTTTGATTGAGCGGTGAGCCATCGTTTCGATCTTTCAAGTGCGAACGACAAAGAGAGACTCCCGAGTTCGTCGCCGACCTTGTGTCGCTTGGAAAAAGCAGTTCACGGACGCGACTCTTGGACTGATGTT